ACGTACGTACGTCGTCGTCGTCTCTCTCTCTCTCTCTCTCTCTCTCTCTCTCTCTCTCTCTCTCTCTCTCTCTCTCTCTCTCTCGCTTGCTCTCTGTACCTTGACACACATAGAATTGCAAAACGATTGCGACACCAATCCTATGTGGAGTAGGTCCATTGCTCGGCCTAATATTGGTAGCTAGCTCAATAACAATGTTGGCACTTTTTTAACGATAACGATATTAGATGACTAACGCAAGCGCGATACGTTTTGCACCTTAGATTTATAGAACACTCCGGAGGATGTAAAACAAATCGTAAGACAAATCGATGCAAGAAGAAATAATTATATACAATTGATAACAAGTCATTGAGATATTGTCGAAATATTGCCGTTGCTCCTTTTCATCGCAACCAAAAGTTTTTAGAAGCTTGGTCTAAAGAAAAATGAGTCTCGTAATTGTCAGATTGATATGACTAAGAGCGTTTCGATTAAATTTAAAGAAAGAAAGTGTTGAAAGAATTAAAACAGTTAATAAAAAGTTAATAAAAAAAGATATTTTCAAATGAGAGTTTGACTATCTAATAATTTAACTCGACAATTATCAAAGCTGGTCAATATTATTCCGCGTAAAATAAGGAAAGTGTTTTGAAATTCAATATTCAAAAGAGAAATAAATAAACGAATGGAGCTGACATAGGTCGCTGAATTCTAGAAATGTGACGGTCAAAAACGCTCGATCAGCAGATTAGTGGACAAGTCCGTGGACTTCTAATAACTATTAATAAAGCTCGGGTTGTCTCCAAGGTCGCGATGTCGAAGATATCGTCCTATCGTCGTAGATTTTAAGTCCGAGTATCGATATAAATACACACGGTTTACAAAATAGCGACGCAGTTTGTTCGCGCAGACCACTCGCCCACGGATACCACCGCATTCGTCTCGTTATCAACTTTCAAAATATTTTTTTGGCGAAGCGATTGATTAGTTTGGCTCGCGTTAGAAATCGAAAACCACAAAAATATAATTGGATAAATATGATGCATACATTTTTTGCTTCCCATCGGAAGAAAAGTGGACAAATTTAGTATCGTTCGATCGCGAGAGAGGCGACGATTCCCCTACTAAATTTCTATCGTTACAGAAATAATTCGAAGGTGAAATCTAATGCATTAATCGCGGATGCAGAACAATAGGGAAGGTCATCGCAATATAGGTCATAATCGATATGAATCACCGCTATAAATATGTCGTTTGGCGGGTCGTATTTTATCGCGCAAAGAAATCCTTCCTCCAAATCGCGCCACGTCGCGGATAAACGGAAGCGCCGTTGCTCCGACCACAAAGAGTTACACGCGTGTTTCTTCCGCTCCCTACTAATATTGACCAAGGTTAGGCCGTAATATTGGGTTAAAAACGGGGGACGGAGGGAGAGGGGAAACGGGCGCCGCGCTGGAGCACATGCTCCTCGTTCTCCAAGTTGCGTCGTCGTCGTCGTCGTCGTCGTCTTCGAAAACGGACTATGCCAAATATAAACCCGGTGGCCTGAAACGCGTGCGCCATGATCGTCATGCCGTAGAGAAAACCTAACACGCCCCGTTTAAATGTTAAAGTCCTGGCCGACTAATCAGCTCGGCAGGCTCGCGCGTGTCACCGCCGTGTTGCTCACGTGGCGGATAGCCAAGAGACATGGATGCACATTTTATTCGTTAACTCTTTTTTTTACTTTAAAAAAAGAAAAGAAAAACGGATGTTTATGTATATTTTAAGCAACGTAACTCTTAAGCTTAAGTTAGAAATATCTTCAACTGACCAAATAGTCAAACAAAGAAATTTTATGACTTTTGAAACCGATCTTAGTATTTTAATAGCTTCGTAGCGTTTTTTCACGCTAAAACTAGGCAGAGTTACTTCTGCAAATATGTTGGGTTAAATTTTTTTAATACAATTGATCGTAAAGTTAACAGTAGGATGGAGAAGAAATTTAAAGATTATAAGATCATAAAATCATAAAATTTTTAGGAGTTTATGGCACAGAAAGAAGAATGTCCGTTTGGAATGTCAGTTTCAAACCAATAAACAATTGCTGAAATAGCGGGCATAAACAACGCGCACGTGCAAAAACATTCCGGCAAGTAATTAACATTGAGTATCGTGGAGCTATACGAAGGTCTCGACGCTACCTCGGAAGTCGATGTATCGTTAGTTTCGGGAGTGACGTCAAGTTTCGTGTCGAACTCCCTGGTGGTCTCGGTGACGTTGCGCTGCAACCACGCGTCCCAGTCGTGACGCGGCCACCAGGGGACGCTTCCGGGCATCAACAGATTCAGTTCTGGAACCTGAAAGGACGATGACGACGACGACGACGAGGCGGCCGACGGTGGTCCGGCATCGGCCAAACCACCGCCGCCGCCGCCGACGGTAGTCCAGCTTCCAGCAGGATCCAGATTGACGATTGCCGTGCAAAACGAAAGATGCTTTTACCCGGGCACCTACACCCTCGCGCCACGTCTCACGAGCGCATCTTGCCAACTGCAAGATGCGCGTATTTCTAAATCCAGGTTGAACAATTCTGGGCCGCCAGCCGTGCCCCGCCGGACTTTTCCTACCGACGACGGTGACGAATCGACACGATTCCGCCTCAGTGTCCCATTTTTTCGAAAGACGGAATATTAATTCCCCATAGAACAGTTCGTTACTCCCGGAGCACTTTCTCAATCCGAAAAAAGTCGAAGTTTCGTTCGTTTCAGATGCGAAGGCGCCCTCGATATCGCCAATCTCGTCGACGCGCCGCGCTCGGACCTACGAGATCCGGATCGAAAATCTGTGAGAGTGCCTTGAAATCCGAGCTGCCCGACGAGTCGGCGACGAAGAAGCCTTCGCGCCCGCTCTCGGTGGACGGGTCGGCTTGCCGGCGTAACGTTCTCCGACGGCGACGACGATGTTGCGTTGGCCATCTGGCGCAAACTCGCACTAAAAGCGCGGCGAAACTGCGTGACGAGTCCCCCTCGAAAATAGTCGCCGGTCGAAAATAGCCGGCGTCGAGTAAGAAAGAAGAATCATCGGCATTCTTGCTCCGGGTATACACCCGGCGTGCCCGTTGCGCCACGAGATTCTCCAGAGACGGTTCCCGCTTGGTAGAGCGCGTCGATGCGCTAACTCCTCTCCCTTCTGTGTTCTACTCGTCTTCACATGTCCACATATCGATCATCATCAAGAGTCTCCGCATCAAAGCTCAGTAAGTGATATAAGAACCAGTCGGGACATTTATCGTATAGTATATCGAGAAGATAACTTTGTTATCTAAAAACCAGCCTCGAGAAGCTAATCTGTACACAGATTGTTCTTGTGTGTTAACTTGGACTCATCTTTCTATATCTTCCCTTTTTTTCACGCTTTCATGCGTTATTATCATTCATACGAAATTTAAAGTACGCTTAGCTTAATCATCGCTATTCCGCGTATAAAAAAATCAGTTTTCATTGTGAAATTTTATGATCGCGGTATTCGCGGTAATAAAAGAATCGTAAGGCTTTTACATAATTCAAGAAACCGTACAAAAATTCGATATGCAACACATGTTTAATTAAAAGGAGGTAAAACACTTATAAAAATGCTTATATTAAATTGAGAAACGAATTATTAAAGTTGCCGTGAGAGTTTGCTATGAGGATGTTCAAAGAGAGTACGTTCCATGTATGTGCATACAAAAGTATTTCCAGACCATTTTGTGTATCCATAATAAAAAAAAAATATATATATATATCATATGCTATACAAAAAACTATAAAAGATACATTATAACTAACATAGCCTCTGTTTCAAAATTCACTGTCAATATTGAAAATCTATAGTTCACGTAACGTATACTATACATCATCAGCGTTGACAGTAAATTTTGGAACATATTAATCATCATCATCTTCTTCTTTTTCTTTTTTTTTTTTTTTTTTAAATATTAAACTAGTAATTTAAAAATTAAATTTTTCGTGTTATCAAATATAACCCATTCCGCAAGATTTCCTCCAATAATATCATCGACAGAGTACGACAGAGTACGACAGGCATCCGCTGTGTATATCTTTAGTAGATCAGGGGTTAAAAGTATGATTGGATCGACTGTTTGTAGATCATCGGTCGTATGTCACGTGACGCAGTAAAACATGTAGCGCGGACAGGAGGGCGATAATAATCGATGCTAATACCGATGCGTTGTCCCTCGGACTCACCTGACTCCTGGTGGACGGCGATCGATGGCGGTGTCGCTCCTGGCTGGGCGACGACGAGCCGTGGTGACGGTGAACGCGCGTACGACGAGACGACGTGGGATGTGCCAAGTGGGCACGATCACGATCACGATCGCGGTGTCCATGCTGCCTGCCGCTGCTAGGTGATCTACGATGGCTACGCTTGTATCGACGTTCCTGGCTAGTTCCCCGTTCATGCTGACGAGATCTTAGCACTCGTTCCCCGCTGAAATACAAATAAAGAAAAAAAATCAACTTTCAATTCAGACTCATTACTCTGACACTTGGATGGACGGGACATTAAAGAGAAAACTAAGATCGGATATACTTTAAGAATCGGTCCAAGACTCGGAGACTTTTCAAAGTATACCACAAAAACAGATTGCTCTCGCAAGATAAATACTTGCAATAATCAATTGGGGCCAATTTAAAAGTGTGTCGAATGATAATGTAGTGCAAAAGCTGAACGTTTAACATGATCTGGAGCGAAACTAAGTGGGAATCAAGGTTTCACTGTGTCACACGTGTGACATGTTCTTAAATCGTGTACATAAACGTGGGATGACCTAATTAATCCGTCTTCTTCAAATAGACTATCGACTAGCTCGCTTAGGGAGTGATGAGACGCCTCTTTATTAATTTTATAACAAGGTTTTATTTATTCGATATTGTTGCACGATAATCCTTCAATAAGAGAAATGTTTCTTTAGTGTATTAAAACACTTCAATTATTGACACAATATTATTCATAAAAAGATTATAGCGATAACCGCCCGAGGATCGCCTAGTTATAAATATCCCTCGTTTATCAATACAATATTACTCTCTTGAAGCTTTGTAAAAATATATGGGGTATTTTTGTCGCCGGGTGGCTGACTATAGCGCGACTGAAAAGAATCAAAAATTCGTTTGCTCGATGATTCACAAAGGAAACGGAAGCCGCCGAGGGACTTCGGGCAGAGCTCCAACGACGTTGAATTTCAATTATTTCGCCAATCAATAAAAATGTCGTACACAGAGGGATCAAACCGGGTTAATCGAGCAGATATACATGTAGAAAAAGTTATTGTTCCAATTTCAATATCGCTAGTAGTCGATTACCAGTCGTCGAGGCACGCAAAAGAATTCGATGAATCGTTTCGAGTGACACGCCAGACGGCTATTGTTCCGCATTTTTTTTTCCCCTCTACAGAGGCATCAACCGTATGACGGGTTCATGGTCAAGCAACCAGCTTGAATCTACCAGCAGCTGAAGCTCGTCCGAAGATTTCCATTCGCGAAAGCGATTTCCAGCAAGCACTGCCGAATGCTAAGTTGCGAGACGATTAGCAAACACAAATTTATAATCAGAAATATCATTTTAATAATGACGCTATTTTGTTTTTCTTCGTTTCACCATTTCTCCGATTAATGGAGAACCGATCGGAGAAGCGAAGGAGCTTCATGGAAGTAAAAAGAATCTGCGAAACTCGTCACCGTGTCCATCTCTTGGAGCGTGTCCAAGTCGAAAATCATCGTTTCGTCAAGGATGTGTAATAACTAAATAGGGTAGGATCGTCATCGGGTATCAGTTTCACCCTTAACTTTACCACCCACGACTTGGCAGATTCCATCACGAGGAGGATTGCACAAAAGGAGCAAAAATATTTCTCGAAAAACAGTTATATACTTCGTATTTGTGCGTATTTTGCGCGGATGCAGGTCTATAAATTTACAGGAACGATACGACCTTATCTCTGTGCATAATCGCCCGTGTTACGATGCGAGCAGCATATCGTAAAGTAAAACAATATACATGAAATTACACCGTCCAGGAAGACGATATGTTAATTTTAATAATCGAATATTTACACATTACAGACACATTTCTCCTTTTCTTTTTCTTTAAGTTGATTTCTTCCTGCAAGAAATCATGCGGTAATTTAATATTTTCTTTTCTTTTTTTCTCTTTTGAGAAAATTATGAATATAAATTATGAATATATTTTGTCGTTTAAAAAGAAACACCCGTTTGTTGTTCATACTTTACCTTGGCATCCAGGAAGCGAGGTCGACGTACAGGACAGGCATCCTTTTTAAATTTTATCCGTCTTGCAAGCTGGATTCAAATAAAGACTCTTACGCGAATCGGTTTCACAAATATTCCGATAATAAATATTTACTCGAAGTCAATCTCTTAATTTTGATCGTTTAAAGAACGATGGAAAAATATTAATTATTAAGTGAATATTTATAGTTAGATACGTGTATTTATCATAGCCTAAGATAGTTTGAGAATATTAACTTTTACATCTATGTGCTCATGTCTTCCGAATCTTTTTTTACTCCAAATTTTAGCAACTGTCTGATTTCAAACTTTTTAAATCTTACACAATAATAATGTTGTATTGTTACTAAAATTTTATATATAAAACATATTGTAGAATAATTTTTATTTCCCTTTCATGTTTCTTTTGCCATAGTGCGATTAGAAAGCTGTAAGTGTGATTATCCTAATTGCGATGATGGAATATTAACATCATTAGCGGTTTATACGTAACAAAAATAACTCGCAATTATCACTTTCAAACGCGTTCCTCCCACTTTGGAAAATCTGATGGGAAGACACTTTCACTGTACAAATGCAAAACCTATTCAAAGTTTGAGAAGAATTGAAGAGATCAGCTGATTATAGAAAGAGAAAAACGACGAAGTCACTTCAGAGAAGTTGTAAAGGTCAATTTATAAACTTCCTTTCTCTTTCACTCTATTACTTGCACGCGATGACTATTCCAGTTGGAGCTGCTCAAGACCTTGATCTTGCCAAAGCTTGCGTGACATGTGGAAGGAGCGATCTAGCGGAAGAATACTGAAGACAAATAGCTCCTTTATATATCTCTTATCTCTAACAAAGATTCAACGTCTAATTTTCAAATGATCAGCAACGCCATGAAATTACGAGGCTTTAACGTGTAATCGTTATATCAAATGAAGAAATAATCGAGAAATCTAGATTTGCAGGTGAGAGCCGAGTTATCTCCGAATGATTCCGCGATTAAAAACAAACGGCGAAATTATCGAGAAAAATATCGAAATTGCCAGTTGTTATTACCGACAAATAGACCCGACAGCTGCGATCGTGCAGAAGCGACGTCAGTCTCGGGACGCGCGATTATCAATCACGATTAATTCAATTCTGGGTTCACGCCGACGTCGACGACGACGGCTCGTGATGATTCGCAATGCCGTCGTCTACGAGAGATATAATTTCTTCTACGAACCAGGCGTGTGAGTGAATTCCAATTACTTGTTTCTCTTCCAGATCAGTTCGCTTCCTCATTTTCGATAACGATTCTCATCGATGGGAAGATCGCGTGCGAGAATGCTCTGCATAATGCAACTTTCCTCTTTCATCGAGCAATTCTCCGAGCGTGAAAAAAAAAAAAAAAAAAAAAAAAAAAAAAAAAAAAAAAAAAAAAGTTCGTTACAATTGCTGTTTACCGTTGTACGGACAAATTGTATCCGTTTGAGATACACAGCGTCCACTATAATTGGCGCAATTAACGGAAGTTTGACCAGAGATACTTTCTTCGGAGCTCGGATTTAAAAATGTCGGGCGAGATAATTCTTGCGTTTATTCGCGCGATAAACGGGACGCGGTATTGACATGAGAGACGCGCTTTTTCTGCGTCGGAGATTGGAGCTCAATGCAACCGTAGCGGATTCGACGCGTGAAGGAAACGCGTTAAAGACGTTTTATCTCTTACGTAGCCTTCAACTCGAATTGTTCTCGCGACAATCGTAATCATAATCTCAATACGTCTTATTGCTACAAATCATCGTGACGTAAAAAAAAAAGAAAAAAAAATACATTGTGTAGCCAAAGATATCCATAAGTCGAAAACGCCCTGCTCGCAGATTGTTGTGCTCAGCATCAAGATTTATCCTTGCGTCTTTGATCCCTTCGATTCCGCTCGATCGATAGCACTTTTTCAGCTAGGAAACGCGCGCGGGCCTCGCAAAATTACTATCATTTATTACAACGCGAAAGGAAACGGTACTCCGTTCGTCTGAGATCTTACTTGGATATCGCCGGGCTCGATCGCGCTCAGTCACTGACCTAGAAGATCAGGAAGTAATGCAAGAAAAAAAAAAAATTACCACCATTCATTAAGCAGGTCTTCACACAACGCAGCAGCCTTAAATTAAAGAAGAGAAATATAAAGAGCATTTTAATTAATTGGTAATTCGTGCCCGCATTCCGCGTGACTCACGCTCGCGCGGCTACTCGGAGATGCATGGGTAATGAAGCGCAATATGAACATGAGAGTGTCTCGGACAGCCTAATTGGTGTCAAATTTCAAGAGTAATTTCCCGAGAAGAAAGACGTGACGATCATAATTTTAAAAAAATATAAAATTTTTATTTTGTCTACAGAACACACGGAAATGGCTATATATGAATATG